GTTGCTAAAGATGTTGAACAATTTTTTCCATATATTTGCTGACCAATTGTATTTCTTCTTCAAAGTGCCTGTTTAGTTCCTTTGCCCATGCATTGGTTGGGTTATTATTTCTGTGTGTGTTAGTTTTTTGTGTTTCTTATGTAACTTGGAGATTAATGCTGTATCTGAGATGGAGGTGGCAAAGATTTTTTCCTTTTCTGTAGGTTCTTTTTCATGTTCTTGATTGTTTCCTTTTCTGTGAAGAATTTTTTTTTTGGGGGGGAAGTGTCTTTTTAAAAAATATTTATTTATTTACTGTAGTTTTAGGTGGACACAATATCTTCATTTTATTTTTATGTGGTGCTGAGGATTGAACCCAGTGCCTCACACATGCTAGGCGAGTGCTCTTCCTCTGAGCCACAACCACAGCCCGGGAGGTGTCTTTTTTATTAATTAATTTATTTATTCTAATTAGGTATATATGACAGCAGAATGCATTTTGATTCATCATGCACAAATGGAGCATAACTTTCATTTCTCTGGTTGTACACAATGCAGCGTCACACCATATATGCAGTCAGTCATACATGTACCTAGGGTAATGATGTCCATCTCATTTTGTCATCTTTCCTCCTCCCATGCCTTCCCTTCCCCCCTCCCCTTTTCCTAAAAGTAGTGGTTATATGGGAATTCTCTGTGCTGTATGTCTTTTTTTTTTCCCCAGTAATTTTGTTAGTCAGATTTTTTATTTCTGTGATCAAAATACCTGACAAGAATAATGTAAAAGAGGAAAAGTTTAATTTGGGCTCATGGTTTCAGAGATTCAGTCCATGGTTGGCTGAATCCAATGCTCTGGGTCAGAAGAGAGGCACAGCATCATGGCAGAACTGCATGGCTGAGGAAAGCCGCTAGTTCATGGCAGCTAGGAATGGGGGTGGGGAGATGAAGAATGAGAGGGGGAGAGGGAGAGGGAGAGGGAGAGGGAGAGGGAGATAGATAGATAGAGAGAGAGAGAGAGAGAGAGAGAGAGAGA